GGGAGGAGGAAGGAATCGAGTACACCTTCCAACAAGACAATGCGAGGCCTCACGTATCTCTCAACTAAAGAATGGCTGGCACGCAATGGCGTGGCAACCGTCCAGTGGCTAGCAGTGAGTCCAGATCTGAACTGCATCGAGCACTGCTGGGGCAGGATGGCTCTAGCCGTCTATGAAGGGGTTAGATGCCCCTACAGTACCAAGGATGTACTCCGACAGGCAATTTTTGAAGTCTGGGATGACCTGACACCCGGAGATATCAGCACTCTCTCACTAAGTCGACTCGCAGTCGCTGTGTAGAGGGGATTAAGTGTCAAGGTGGCCCTACGAGGTACTGTTAGTTTCTTTTTGTGTGAATCGTGTCTCCTCAGTGACAGGAATGTTGAATTACAGTGCCAATTTAAGATGACCTTGGTGGGTTCTATTTTTTTGGAAGCGCGGAAAAATTGACCGTTTCAGAAATTTTACTAAAGCGAGCGAATAATGATACGACTCTGATATATTTTTGTTCCTACATAAGTGATACCCTCACACACGAAATCTCACAACCTGAGTGACTCAGGCTGAGTCGCAGTAATAACAGAGAAATCGGAAAAATACTGTATGCTCTATTACTTCGTGAGGGGGTTTATTTCTACCAGCTGATTTCTCGGGTAATGCCCAGATGAGCTGTGGTGGCTTTGTGATCCAAATCAGTACTTTGGAAGCCAAAGTTTGGCTCTCGACGACGGGAACAGCAACTGTACTTCAATTCAGCTGAAACATCGGAACCATTATTACTAACAAGTGGCTCGCAACTTGCAATGACATGAGCTCAGAACTGTATTCAGTGCGACAATAAGAGATGAAACCAGGTATGAGTGGCTTTAGAGCTCACCTCAAACCAGTGGTTGTCCACTTTGATCGATGATTGGGGGGCACCCCTTACACAAACGTGGTACAGCTAGTCGTAGCTAGCAGGAATGCCAGGTTTAGCCGGACGGTATTGCTTGAGTACTATGGGGTATTTCGGCGACATGCTTGTCAGGCCACATAAGCGATGGTTGACCATTGCTGACCGGTAAACGGTTAACAAGTTGGTGGTTTCTTCGACATGCATGGATGATAACAATTTTCCCGTCCATGGATGACATTTCTAATGGCGTTTCTTGGGTATTTCTCGCTATTTCAGCCATATCATGAACTTCCCTATGCAGCCACACCTTCCCTTGACACACCTTATACCGCCTCCATTGCGGACTATGACGTCTCTATCGTTCATCACAGCCAGAGCAAAAGACTTCGCTTTCACCGCACGCTTCATGGATGCTTACAACATAGAGGGGATCAACTCATTGCCTGCGAACCTGTCCTCGACTGAGCTTGAGAAAGAGGTTTATGCGATGCTCTGAGTTCTTCTCCCCTGTAATGGTCAGACATTCACAGGCTAGCAATATCAAGTCCGCCGATGACTCTCCGATGAGCGGACAGTTGTCACCATCACTGTCAACATAGAATGCTCTGAAGTCTCGGTGGACCAACTCAGGCCACGCGATCCTAGCCAGGCGATGAACGTCATCCACTCGAGGTTCCTTCTGGGTAACCTCCATACGAGCCTTGAAAACCTCCTCCTTGCAGTTAAGCTCCACAGCTAGTCCGACCGTTTCGGGGCTTCGAGTGAGACGAGCGCTTCCCAAACTGGAAACTCCACCTCATTAGGCGCTGCAGTTTCGGCGCTTTCCAGGTCTGACCTGCAGAGTTGAATGACTCATTCAACTCTGCAGTTTTGCCTTCTCCAGTGACTCTCATTTCCGAACAATGAGAAACCGGATCACGACAGGCAAAAGTAACTGCTTCCACCGAAGACTCGAGATAGCCTAATATCACACAGACCTATATTCCGAACACAACTGGACTGCGGTGCTTCAGAGCAGGAAATGATAATTAGGCCCAACAGGGTGCTTCAACACTCACCGTCAATTAGAGGGAAACTAGAGCAGCAGATGAGCATCGTCTGAGCTGTACTGGCCTACGACGCACTGCGGCGTTAAAAGTATTTAATCTAAGCTCAGGCATGAGTGTTTTAGAGAAATATGTAATATAGAGTAATGAAGAGAAAGACGAAGCAATCACTCATAGAAGTCATCACCAGGACACAAAAGGATCGTCAATGGCACTAACAATAGGAGCAAGATCTGTCGAGTCGGGGTAGTCCTCAAAGTTAGAGGTATCAGTAGCCGACTTCACCATTGGCTTATAGGGAGACTCGATCTCCTTCCTGTACAGCGCCTCCCACGATATACCTACGAAGACGTTCAGCCTTAGTACACATAGGAGCGTATCGATACCAGCTAACAGTGTTATCTAGTAGCCTAACGCACTGGGACAAGACGCCTTTGCTCAGCCAGGGAATTCCTACACTAAGGTTCTCACCTGCGAACCACTTGCATTTTTTTATATCATCCACACCGCCCCTCAGCGTCCCATAACGTTGGGCTATAACAACATTTGCAAATCCACATCAAACACAGATTCCTTACTCAAATCAGCGGTGAGCATTTTCTTCACAAGAGTTTTAGCATGCTTGTCGAAGGACCGAGGAAATACTATCTTCCCTGTCAGGATCTTCTGATATATACCTACTACTCAAATTGCGAGGACACACCCGGGCATCCGTAATCCTCACCCATGGGGTCCTCATCAACGAAGGGCGGACATCCAACCATCATCTCATATGTGAGTATTCCCAAAGTCCACCAGTCCACTGCTTTACCATGGCCCTACAACCCATCACTCAACTCCTTCGAACAAGGAGGCCTCTAATTGTGAATCGAAAATAGTACAATACCATGTAATTTTCCAATTGTGTATCTCCGTGTATATCTACGTGGTGAGTGCCTCATTCTGCCATAGCTATTCAGCCTAGCGTCGAATAATTCTCGCATTATTTATCATTAAAACTCAGGTCTCCACATGAGCAACCCTGACCAAATTCACCTTATTCAACAAGACCTCAGGCGCGATGTACTCCGGCGTTCCACATAGGGTATATGTGCGTTGGTGAACTATCTGCTGGAAACAAGCATAGTCAACATTTCCTCGATCATCTCACTTTTGCAAATCCAAAGTCGGTGAGCTTAAGATACCCGTCCGCACCAAGAAGGATATTCTCAGGCTTGAGGTCTCGATAGATGATATTCTTAGAGTGGAGATATTCAAATATACTCACAATTTGAGCCGCGTAAAATCGGGCAGTCTCATTTTCGAATCGCCCGACCTTACGCAAGTGTGTAAAAAACTCGCCGCCAACGACATACCTACAAAACATTCCTCAGCCTTCTCCTAAAGAAGCAACTGGACTACTCGAGGGCCAGATAGAGATAACGGCTATCATGAAAAGACCCGTAGAGGTTGACAATCATGGGATGATGAATCGCCTTAAGGATCGTCTTCTCCGAGTTAATGTGATCAACCTGATTCCGATGCATATCAAAGGGTGACAACCAGCAGTTTCCTCACTTGTTTTAGTCTTATAATGACAGCTTTCTTCAACATCTTCAGCGCGTAGTGCCTTCCACTCGCCTTGTGCGTGGCGAAGCGGACCCTCCCAAACGAGCCCGTGCCCAACGTCTTGCCCAATTCAAAGCTCTCAACGTCACATGAGTCCAATGCACAACATTCTGCAGCTGGCGGTCCAAGCTGCTGCTGCTGCCGCTGATGCTGCAGAGCCGAACTGCTGCTGACCACCCTAGTCGGGACCAAACTCATCATCGCTACTGGGCCCTCGACGCCTGCCATTAATGACAATAGACGAAGATCGGACGTATATAGAACTGAAAACATTCAGCACAGTAGATTCACTTGTGATGGGAGTAATGGTCCCGACAGCTCCTCGGAACCTCATCCCCCTCTAGTATGAACTCGCACGGCCCTTCCACGACCATCTCAGCTCCATTGAGCGTGCGCCCCAACGTGGGAAAATATGCACATGGTCAACTACACGTGCTAGTTTAGAAAATCTCAATTGGTTTCTGTACACTTCTAGTCCAACTCGTATGTGAACTTTCATAGTAGGAGAGGTGACTTCTGAGCTCAGCCGAGGAAAGCACATAAATAACTGAACACTGCGCCACCTAACACAGATCGGACATTGTGCATCATAGCATTGTAGTACTTTCATGAACACATCCGAGTAACCATCGCTATGACGACTTTCCCCTATAAGCTAATTCACAACCAACACAAGGCCACGAGTAGTTCACGAAATCACCATAATATTCACATGGTCAAAGATATATCATCTGAAACTAGGACAGCAATTGTACACACATCCGCTGCTCGACGGGTCGCACTCCAGCAACGAAGCTGCGCCAAAACCACAGGCGTTTTCGGCCTGGACAGTGAACGTCACGTTCGCCGAGACGGTCGGTCGTGACCATTGATGGTAAACAGTAGTGCCTAAGTCACACCTCAGCAACTGACCACAGCTGAAGGCCCGCCTTACTATTCGCAGCAACACACTGCGCCTCGCTGGTGCTACACAGCTTATACCCAGTAATAAAAGCACCTCCACCACTCATAGGTGAAGACCAACTTGCCACGATGAAGGTTCCCACCTGATTCACAGCAGATCTGTACCCAGCAGACTAAAGCCTCTGCTACCGTTATATTAAAGTTGGTGGGAGCGGACGGCAGGTCACAACTAGTTGCCAAAAACACCGCGCCAAATTCAGACCAGTCCTGACGGCGATTGCGCGCTCGAGCTCGGAAGAGCCATGTGAGACCACTGGTCAAGTTGACCTACATTCAGCTAAGCACCACTCAGAGTGACCACCTACGGCCTCACCTGGACCCACGGCTCCGTCCCATTATATAAGACCTCATAGGAAGCCGCGTTGGCACCACCCTGTAACTGATACCTGATGCAGTGTTGCAAACGTGTTTAGTCTCCACAGATGAGCTCAAGAGTTTTCACTGTAGAACTGTACAAAAACCAACAACAATTTCCTCATCGTCACCAACACGCATATGCGCATCTCTCTACTCTATGTTCGCCAGGTCATCTCCACCAGTATCAAACACTTCACTCCATCGCAACTTCACACTACCAGCTCGTGGCCAATCAGTGTCGTTGCGCCAGATACTAGCGGTCACTCCTGAGCCACGATCACCAACGACCAAACCACCACCAAGCCATACCATAAGAGGGGCGGTCGAGGGTCCAGCCGGGCAGGTCCAGATGGTCCTCATAGTCCGATATAAATGACTTGGACAACTCACTACACTCCGACGCCCAACTGAGAGTATTGGAGTTTCACCCTAGTGATATGAAAAAAAACACTAGTGAAAAACGTATCGCACAGCTACTGTGAATATCGGATTTTTTCACAGAGCATTACGCCACTGCTGTGAAACGGGTCGTGAAACTTCATCGAAACACCCGACAGAGACCAGAAGCATACCCGAGGGAGTTCTCTGCCATGACACACAGTTGGTACTGCTTCCTAGGAGCCAGACTGGGCACCTCCGCAATAGTGATATTCACCTGAGTAACCATGGAGGAAATGGACAGACGGGCAGGTTAATGATATGGAAAACGGTTACACGTGGTACCGCAAGACCGGTATAATATGATTCTATAATAGGAAACCATTTTACGCTACTCGAAACATTGATCTAGACTAGCAGAAGTTCCTCAACAACAACAACATAAACATGACCAACAACATAAACAACAACAGCATAAACAATAACAGCATACACAATAACAACAACAATAACAACAACAATAACAAGAACAACAACCACAATAACAACAACAACAACAACAACAACAACAACAATAACGACAACAACGACAGCGGCATCTCACGTAGTCTCGAACCGATGAGATAAATCACTCTACGATATCAGATATAAAAATACACTACAACGTGAAGACCAATGCCTCTACGACTTCATCTCACATCAGGAGGAGGCGGGCTCCCAACACTCCCCATCCACGTGTTGGCCATCCCACCGCCGATCTCCCACAGCTTGAAGCGATATCTCAATAGAGGTATACCTGACCACAGTCTACAACACAACTCCAATACACATATGTTCACCATTGCTGACCGGGGCTGTCCACTGATACCGTAGCATGCTACTGTTGCAAGCGAACGTGTTCACAGGACGACTCGGCACTCCAGGAGCGCTGCCCGCCGTAAAAGTGACGACGTCGCTGAGCGGTCCCGCCCCTATGGTGTTCACAGCCGCTATACGAATCTGGTAGTCAGTGCCAGTACTAAGACCACTGATCGTGCAGTAGGTCGGAACTACAACAAGTGAGTCGGGACCACCTCCTCCATGTGCATACCGCCCCCCTTACATGGAATAAGTTCCCGACCACATGTGGTGTCCGGCGTGAGCAGGTCAATAGCAGTGCTCGGACCATCATCACGATACACCCTATAGCCCACCACCGTGCCATTGTTCATGGCCGGCTCCGTCCAGTTGAGCCCAATAGTAGTGTTGGAAGTCGACAAACCAGCAGACTACCACACCCCACATCAACACCAACAACAACAGCATCACTTTCCCACCTGACTGGGAAGGGCCATCTTGGCAGGAACACTCGCACAAGCCAGAGTGACCGTAGCAGAGTCCCGATAGCCCTTCGTGCTGTAGACCCTCAAGTAGTAGGACACCTACCACCACTCTCAACGCCTTTCCTCAACTTTAGAGAATCACAGCAGCCCATAGGATCAATGTTGGAGTAAGAATATATCTTCCCTCCCCTCAGCTGAGCTCAGGAGTTTTTCATACGAATTCGAGTACAAGTGTTCAGAAGCCAATAAAAATGTCCCGAAATTTCCTCAGAACATGTGCATATTTTCCCACACTGTATGCGACCATCACGCGTCCCATCCAACCTGCCTCCAGCGTAGCGCTCTCCCGACAGTCCACAAAATGCTGCATTGCCCACGACGCTGTCAGACTCGGATCAAATGGACTCGTCAGGTTCACCCCTGGCCCTTCAACGTAGGGATAGACGCTCTGCCACGTTACTCCCGAGTGCCGAGCGAACAGCCGGAAGCCCGTGATAGGGCAACTGTAGTGTACCGGAGACAACCACCCTATCAAATTGTGAGTAGCATTGCCGTCAGCCCGGAATGGGGGATCAGGCAGCTCCATTTCTTTGCATGCTCGAACCTATTATGAAAAATGGCCATGCCAGGGATCGAACCCGGGACCTCCGCACCTCCACCATCTCACTCCTGTTCCCCTCCGCTGCAGCACTCTTTATAGCAACTTGGAAGTAGTACGCCCGACCAGCCACAATACCACTCGTGACCCTATACGTCGTAACAGCCGTGTCCAGAACCTCCTCGTGCAGACCCAGACTCAGGTTGCTCGATCCCATGAAGATGACAAACGACTTCAGCGGAGCCCCAAAGGTCAAAGTGCCGTTGGGTACAGTCCATTTTATACCAACACTAGTGTCACCTACGACAACCACGATCAGCACATAGTCGTCCACATGTGCGGGTGAAAATATGAAATTTCCAAGGAAATTTTGGGAAATTCTTGCTGATTTCCGTACATTTCTAACATAGATTCATACCCAAACTTCTATAATTAGCTCCAGGGCTCAGCTGAAGAGAGCGCACCGCTACCAGTGGCATCCTCGTCAACCTCTACCACCGGGGCCTTTGGTCTCTCTGAGCACCACAGTCGGCTCACAGGTGAATACTGCCCTGGTCCTCCTGCATTCAACGCGGCCACCTAAATTGTTAAAGTCTCGCCATACCATCCCAATTCCAAATCACCACCCTCCTTCCTACCTTCACATAAGAGTAATTATTATGAAGATTATAAGTGTTATTCGCGGCATCTCGCACAAACATACAGTCGAATGAGAAGTACTGCGAGTACGCCGGCACCGCCAAAGGGTACCCCATGTTGTCCGGAGTAATACCAGTAGAAACCTGCCCACTACCATCACAGAGACTAAAACTCTGAACAGCTCACGTGCCATCCTATTATCGCGCTACCACCATTGTCGCCCGTCCACGACCAACCAACCGTCATAGTCGTACCAGCCACAGTGTAGTTGTAATAGACCGGAGCACTCGGGGCTGAGGGCATTGCTGCGGCCAGGTGACTTGCTACAGGTGAACTCAAACTCATGCCGACCTCGCTGACCACCCTATACCGAGTCCTGTACGTTCGACCTGATCGATAACAATCAACATCGGAAATCACGAACAACCCACCCGCAGTTAGCCCTGATATCGTCAGTGACCGCGCCGTCGCTGATGCTACTCTCACCGTCGTGTACAGCCCATTCAGCCCATCATCGTAATCAACCTCAAAACCCGTTATCAGAGCCCCATGGAGGCCCCCAGGGGTCGGCCACTGCAACAGCATTGCCGTTCTCGACGAGTACTGCCTGTCCACTGTCGGACCACTCAATGGAGCGTCCGGCACGTCCGAGCACCTGTCAACTCCAATCAGTAGATGCACAATTTATGAGAAATATTATTCCCGGTGTGAAGCTCTGCGAAGATTTCCACTACATGTAATAAAAAAGATACACGAATAGAAAAAATGGTATAAGAAACGCCCGAAACTGTACATGCGTTTATAGCGTAGAGAAAAATTCAAGTTCCCCCCGAGAATATCATAGGATCACGCTCAACATTCAAGACCACGAACACCGCTCTCACCTCCATTTCACATGATCACTTCTTGCGGAACTACCAGCCATGTTACCAGCCGAGACTGCTACACACAGGTACTGCTGAGTAAACGAGCCGACCAAACCACTGATAGAAGTACAGTCCACACTGTAGTTGAGCACACCTCCAGAAGCGAACACTGTTGCTTGCGGACTACTGGGCCAACTACTACAATAACCATCACTCGTAACATGGACGTAGTAGTAAGTCACCACAGCTCCACCGTCCGAGACCCCATTCATACTCCATGCCAAGCTGATCGATACATCCGTGGAGTTAGTGACAGCCAGGCCTACAGGTGAACCAGGGGGGTCTGCTGCCGATATGTTCACCACATTGGACGCAGTCCCAGCTCCCGATTCCGATACGGCCTGCACCTTGAATAGATAGAAGGCACCACCACTCAGGCCAGTGGCGGTGAACTCGAGTTGACTGCCATCATCGATGTAGTGCATCGTGAAAGGCCCACCAGCGCCGTTGTCTACGTACACATTCCACCCGATCAGACCACAGGAGTGTAGTCCAGCTGTAGTGATCGAGTAGCTGATCGTGATAGAGGTCGAACTCCGTCGGATTCTCTGTGGTGGTGACGGCGCATCCGGCCTGTCACAGCAGCGTGTCGTGATCACATCACTTCGGGCCGATTCACCTACATACACAAAATGCATCGCATCGAGTTTCGAAATTCCACATGCGATGTTTTCAACATATGAGATCTGCACTTAGTTTTATAAATTTTCCCGGAAATTTCCGATGTTGTGTGTTTCTAATGATCTCTATCTTTACCTAGGGATCTCCAAACTTCATATCGAAATATTCATTCCATCTTTTACGTCCGTATGACATTCAAATTCATATTCTCCCACGCTAACTTCAAGTGAAAAAAGCGAACACACACTGACACACTAAAAACTCCTCGACTGCCTTCGATCTACCAACCTTGCGGGGAAATCCAACTCACTAATACATTACTATAAAGAAAGATGTATTCTAAGTACATTTTGTACACAGGTGTTTGTGCTGTTTCACAAAGACAAACAGCGCCAGACCAACGTATCTTCGTTGAAACTCCCACACGATACTCGGGTACATGAAAGACTAATTGATCAACTATATATTTTTCTGCGCATCTTATGGTTTTTGAGTCAACCAGTGTTCCGACCGAAGCTCTAAACATGACAATACTGTTACTCTTGACCCGATTGTCCTGTCCGTCCTCAGAGCTTACGATCCATTGTCGTCTATCTATCCATAACTACGTTATATATTTCTAAGCATATTTCCCGACCGATCTAATGCATTGTTTTCAAGTGCGCTTTAACCCTCCGAAAGAACCACACCAAAGCCTGCTACCTGCCAGGTTGGTCGCAGTGACATACAAGTAGACATATTGTGCCTGCGTGCAGCTGGAGTCAGCCACCAATACGTTGGGGGCGATTGATGACGATACAATAGACCAGGTGCTACCATAATCGATAGACTTATACACAGTATTAGAGCTCACTGGTGACCCGCCGTTGTAACCCGTGTTATTCCATCCGATTCTCACCCAATTATCACTAACGTTTATAACCCTCACATTTCTAGGACTTTCCGGCACCGCTGCAGCCACAAAAGAAACCGTCGGTGACCAGCCGCTACCACCCGAAACGGTCCTCAACCTATACGCCAGCAAATACGTCAGACCAGCTTCCAATGAGCCAAACTGATGAGTAGTCTGCACCGTACTGTCAACGTCTACACAAACCCTGTCCCCAGTATTGTTATCATCATCATCAATACATACCTCTACCCCAATATGCTGCGCTCCATATAGATCAGTCGTAGCATGAGGTAAGGACCAGCCCACAGTGATAGCACTTGCCGATGTGCTCACCAAATACGGAGCTACGGGCGGCGTTCGCGGTGGTCCACTGCAATGAACAGCTACCTAAAACCAGACCCTTCACCAAAATTCCCAACCATCACTATTTAACATCAACACATATATATCATTTTTATATATCCCTGTAGTTGATATGGTTATTCTACTGATGCCTTTAGGTCATCATTATGTTTATTATTACATCTCACAAATATGATTATATATCACACAGGAGACATAGTTTCACGACCCGTTTTACGTGAAGTGGCGTGAAACTCGGTGAAAAACGCGATATTCGCGGTGATATGCACTAGTCGTGAAATATATTTTTCACTAGTGTTTTTCATATCGAAACTCCCCTAAAATTCTGTATAAATGTTTTATATGTAAATGTTCAGTATTTTCTTGTTGTTGTTTGAAAGTTCTATATAAAATGCAATTTTTCGAGCTATAAAAATCTATAAAAACTTCATGTTCACTCCTCATAGGAATTATTATACCAGCAACCCATCCCCTCACCGGTGAGCTTCGACTGCTGGTCCCGACCATGTTCCGGGCCGCCACAGCGAACCACACATATTCCATTGAGCTTGGCACCCCACCAACAAGAGTACAGTCTTGGACATACGTACGACTCGTGAAATTACTGGCCATACTATCGATGGTCGCCGAGTGGTTCAAGTTGCTGCCATCAGTACTAGTATAGATCAGCCACGCCGTTATATAACTACCGCCGTCAAGACCATCGTGGTCCCACTCGATACTAATCGCCGTATTGGTAGTGTTGGTCGCATGAACGTTCGTGGGGGCCGACGGAGGATCAGCAGCAGTGACAGCCTCCGAGACCGGACTGCCCTCAGAACACCCGACCACACTGCACACCTCCACATAGGCCCTATAGCTGTGACCAACTACCACCCCAGTTGACGTTCTCAGCCACGCCGTGCTATTGTCATACACTCTGAAGGTAGTGAACTCAGCATCATCATCATCAAGATCATCAACATACACTGTCCAACCAGTGTGCCCAACACCATGGAGCTGAGCCGAGGTCGGTGACGGTAGGTAGACCGTCAACAGACCACTACTAGCCGTTACGTTAGGACCATTCACCGGTGCATCCGGTCTGGCCGCACAATACGTTCCAAGTGCTGTCGAGTACGGTCCCAGTGGTTCCGAACCATACACCCCACCAACACCATTGCTCGCTGCTACTTTGACCATTATATAACCACCAACACTACAACTGACCGTCTGCGTCAATGTACTCGCTGACACGGACGAATCCAGACCATACGAGCTACCGCTGTCGGCCGACTTGTAGATGATGAACTTCTGTATTGGTACTCCACCATTACTTCCAGGGAAAGTCCAGGCCACAGTAACGCTACCATCAGTAGAACTGCTCAGTGTTGGTCCCGATGGTGCATCAGGCAGACCACCACAGACCAGGTCCGCGTACGAGCTGTAACCACCACAACCGTTCAAGTTACACGCCCGGACCTTCACTCGGTACACGTTACCTGCAGTAAGACCACCGAGCACAGCCGACCGACCACTGCCGCTGACCACAGTCTTGAGCTCAGTCAATGGATCCGCGGTCAGGTCCACATACGCGATCTCGAAAGCCACCACCGGCGCCGAACCAGCCGCTGACCCCACCAGAGTCCATCCAATTTCAAGACTACTAGCAGTTCCCTCCACGAATTGCAACGTGATCGGTACCCCAGGGAGGTCCGAGACCATGAGCCTCACAGTAGGACTGTAACCGCTCCAACCATTGACGTTAAAAGCGCGCGCCCTGATGCAATACACGACTGCAGTAGTAAGCTGCGGGTAGTTGGTGGTCGTCAATGTCAACGACCCAGCCAGACGAGCCGATATGAAAGTGTCGTTTCCCGCAACACTGCATGGTCTGATGAGAACTTGGTACTCCAGGACCGGCAGCGTCAGCGACTCCGCAGTGCCATGGGCCACGGTCAGGCTCAGGGTCGGCGAGACCTGACCGCTCACGAACGTAGGAGCGGTCAGTATGGCGGTCGGTGGTGATCCCGTAATGAAGGTCACGTTCGCCTCTGGAGCATAGCTGGCGTAGTTCCCATTGTAAGCGATGACTTTAACAGTGTAAGTGTGGCCAGGACCAAGACCGGTGTGGATATATGAGAGCACGCTTGGTCCCACTGACTCGACCATCGTGAATGGACCACCAGAGCCTTCCCGTAGGAACACATCATACCTGTAAATTGACAGTTGCAACAGTTCTTCCACAAGAATCAACGAGCATTAACTATATAAAAATGAAACCGGCCGTGGTGACTGGTGACACCATGGTTGCAACCGGAAATACATATATTTCACGATGTACCATTTTATTTGGAATTTCACCGTGCTGCAATAGCTGTAAACTAAGATGGAGAACACAGCGGGTCCATGAGACCAGAGGTAGATCGTAGATCAGCCGGTGGTTGGACCCACCAAACTGCCGAGTACAGTGCTCCCCCGACACGGGTATCATTGTATATGACACGCCCTCGTATTACGAGGCTTAAACAATGGTGCCTCGTGACCACAGCAGGTGCAGCTACGAGGCTCGTAACCACAGCCAGCTGCCGTGGTCGCATACGATTCGATACGTCATCTAGTGATAGAAGTAGCGTTGGCTACTTCTAGCACATCAAATGTTCATAGCGTTTATGTGAATTCGGAATATAACACACATTTTTCATCACATTTGCATATCAAATTAACGTAAGCCCACCTGTTCAACAGACAACCGCTGCCTCCAGTCGTGGCACCAGCAGTCCAGGAGATCCTCGCCGTAGTGTCGGTCAGTTCGGAAGCTATAACGCTACCAGGCGGTGATGGAGGACCACACACTTGGTACGTCAACACTGGTGAGACCACGCCTGGACCAACACTGTTGACCGCCACGACCACGAATCTGAACTGACCAGTCACGTTTTCACCAAAGCGACCACGGCTTACCTATAATACTTTCCTATAGTAAGACCACTACTGACCACTGTAGTGAGGTCCGTACCACCACTGTAGACCAACGTGGTGATGTCCCCAAGGTTGCCGTCATCTCTATAAACACGGTACTCCATCACGACCATACCCCCCGTAGTCTCAGGGGCCACCCAGTTCAGTTCGACCGCGCTGTCGTTCCCGTTCGGAGGGCCCACGCTGGGCCTCTCCATCCTACTCGGTGGGACACAACACGTTATCGCCACATACTGCTCCTTGGCACTCTCCCCTACAGCATTGATCGCAGTCGCCGCGAACCTGTACGTGCCCGATGGTGTTAACCCAGTGACCACGAGCTCGGTCGTGGTCGAACCCGTACCATCGTAGACCAGGACGTCCAGGACCGTAGCCCCAACAGCTGACCTATACAGCTTATACCCCGTTACAGGGAGACCACCACTAGGCGCCATCGCCGCTATGGTAGCGTTATAAATCCACCGAACTCTGACCGCCGTGTCACCGATTCTGTCACCGCTATCAGTAGCCAACATGTACGGTTGCTGAGGTGCCGAGGCAGCGTAAATGTAGACCACCGGTGACCAACAGCAGTCGACCACATCATCCAATGCATTGGTTAGGCTCACGTTGTTAACGCCTCTCACTCGGAAGCCATACGGTAGTCCCGGCGTGAGACCAGCCACGGTCGAGTTCAACGTAGTAGCGCTCGCCACAGTGGTCCACACCGAGCCACCAGCCCCATCGTCTCGCTGCAACTCGTAGTTCAAAATCGGCAGTCCACCATCAGAACTGCTCGCAGACCACTGAACCACCAATGACGTACCATTACCGCTCACCCACTGGACCGGATCAGGAGCACTGGGAACGCTCGCCGCGCGCGCCCAGATGATCGATGTGGGCACACCCACAATTGACGTATTCGCGGTCTGCTGTGTCTGTAAGTTCGTGCTTCTCACCTTGACACAGTACCCACCGGTATCACCCGGAGTGTAGACGAAGGTCCTCAAATCTCCAACGATTTCCCCAACTATGTTATAGTCCGCACCGTCACACCAAAAAGATGCCTCCGACGCAGCCGCAAGAATTTGGTACCCCAGAATCGGGCACGCGCTGACCACCACTGACGGCGCGTCCCATGCAAGGGTCAGCTGACCCGAGGCCCGCTGAGCGATACTGAGACCAACGGGGGCCGGTGGCAGCTCACATGCCCTGAAGACCGTAGTGGAACCTCGAGGGCTCTCCCCTATAGCGTTCACCACCGTCATTTCAAAGCGGTACTCGTTACCACCACTGAGACCATCAGCTATGCACAGTCGCGGACCAAGAACATCACAGACCAACCGCGACACAACACCGCCGTACCCATCGTCTACATACACACGGTATGTGACCACCGGACTGCCACCATCATCAGAAGCCTCAGACCACTGCACCGTGATCGAGTCGCCACTGGTGCTGACCAGTTCCAAGGACGGTACCACCGGAACCACAGTGCCCACGTACTCAGCCACCACAGACGATCGCGTACAGTTGCTGGACGAATATAGGCTCACCACATTACAAGCGGTCACCTGGAAGTAGTACAGGGGACCCGCAGTAAGGTAGATGGTGCCAGAGGCAGTCCCACTGCCCAGCCACGCCCGAGTCGTGACAGAACCAGACGTGGTACCATAGTACAGCTCGTAGTGTGTGATCGGACTACCGCCATCATCAGTCGGGGCGTCCCATACAAATGATATGTTCGTGAGCGACCTCGACGCCACCTGAATATTCACAGGTGGTCCCGGTGGTCCAGCGACCGCCACAGTGATCGTGCTCGACTCCGCACCCTCGCCGGCCTCATTGCTCGCTGTCACCCAATACGTATACTCAGCTCCCATTACCACACCACTACTATGCTCAACATACCGCTCACCTGCTGGCCCCTCATGGACCACGAAAGCTGCTCCCGTCCCAAGACTGGACCGTGCGTACACCTTATAGCTGACCACCGATGCACCGTTGGTCTCAGCAGGGGAGTCCCATCCAAGACCAACATGATTCTTACTGGAGTTCACCCTTTCCAAATTCACAGGAGCACCAGGAGGCTGCGCACAGTAGCCCGTGACCACCGCGCTATACTTCGACCACCCAACGAGATTCTCAGCACGCACTCTGAAGGAATAAAGATTCCCCATGGTGCAACTGTCGAACACGGCACTCAGAGTGGTCGAGCTGGTGGTCCCGATCACAACCCAATAGCTCAGGGCATGGTCCTTGACCTCAACCTCGTACTGCAGTATGGTCAGACCACCATCATCGGCCGGCACGGACCACTGGATCGTCATCTCCCCAGTGGCGCTTCTGATCAGCTGAACATTCTGCGGACTCGAGGGTCCTTCCGAGGCATACGCACATACAGTATCACTAGTGGTCATCGTGGCCTCAACCAATACCACTCCTCCACCACCGTCACCAATCGTGCCCTCATTATCAGCCGTTACAGCAAAGCAGTAGCGCCTACCACCGACCACACCATCACCAAGGTCGATGTCAGCAGAGGTCGCCGATGGACCAAGACTGGCCACCTCACGGTCCACGCTCCCACCAAGACCATCGTCCATGAACACAGTATATACCTTAACACTGCCCCCACCGGATGGAGCCGACCACGTGAGACCAACACCAGTCCGATTACTGTACGATACATTAAGACCAACCACCGCCGAGGGCGGCGTTTGAGCCCACACCGCCGCCTCGTTGGTCCATGACGACAGACCACCCTTGGTGACCGCCCTCACCTGCACAGTGTGCCGCGACTCCGCAGTCAGACCACCAGCCGTGTACGCCGTAGTCGCCGCAATACTATAGTCGATGCCGTCCCAGCGGACCACGTACCTGAGCCGATGACCACCATCACAACCTCCCAAGTGAGTCCCATGCTCACGATGTGATGGAACATCCACCGTCGTCCAAAGGCGCCAACCATGCTAGAGAAATTGAAGTGAGACTTCTAGTAGAAATATACAACTCGCTTGGTGACTGTGGCTGACCACATGCCCACACTGTTGTCGGATCCGAATAACCACCTAAATGGCTGACCATAGTCTGACCAGTGTCGGAAGATATGCAGCTGGGAAACTACATGTGTTGGTGAAACCATGTAATTTTTGATAAAATTCCTACTGGTCTCTAAACACTTCTCCCCTAATTCGTAGAGCTCCGCTGAGCAGTGCGGACGTATATCCCTCCAACACCGAGCCGGACTCACTCGTTCCGGCGTCGTTGGTGACCGCAAGCCTAAAACTATACTGAGCCGTAGTAGTGAGCGTCGAGGCAATATACGTCGTACTGGTCCCCGAATAGACCGTCTCCCACTTGCCGTTGTCGCGCTGTGATTCCAATAGATAACGCCGTATCTACAACACCATAGCCTTCCAAGACCACCACCACCATCATTGACCTCACCATCGCTCCCTGGTCATCAGGGTCAGCCCATCTCAAGAAGGCCATGGTCCGTGTGGTCGTGGTACACAGAGGCGACGATGGCGTACTGGGTGGTCCCGCAGCCAGCATGGGCTGAGACATGAGCGATGGGTGACCAACACCAATGGTGTTCTCGGCCCGAATGGTATACGTATAGGACGAACCTACAGCAGCAATAGCAACTGATCGTACACTCGTAAGGAGCCGACCTTCCTTCACATCGTAATCCCTATACTTCAGCAACATCGTGTCCTGGACCACGACCGTGGGGTCCAGCGGGACCACCAAGACCAAGGGCGAATGCAGCGAACCATCAGGCATGGTCGGTGCAGCGTTGTAATAATCCCCCTCAACGTACACCCACACATAGAAGGTCTCGTTATGGTGCAGTTGACAGTCAGTGAGCACCATGGTCTGCTCAGTGTTCGTGACCAACACTCCCGACTTCTTACACTGGGTACCACCCAAGGACCCTTTGCCCATTCTAGCCGAGGACTCGGTCATGGTCGGGGG